GATCCTATACAGTCAGTATATGAAATGCGAAGGGCTTCACAAAACGAAATCTTATAAAGGATTTGTGAGCTGACTAAACTTGCTCCTATTACAATTTATACTGTTGTTAGAACAGAAGTTGTCATTGATCATTCTTTAATACGAAAAAGAAATAAAGGCTTTAAAAAGGTTGATAATGCGACAAACACTCAACAACAGGCGCTCAAAGAATGGTGCCTGTGCGAAAGTACCGATTCACATTGGATTTGAATCGCTGGAGTTTATATTCATTTGGAAAAATGTTCTCAGGAAGTTTATTCCACATAAACGGAGTTCCTTAAAAGAAAGAGTTTTTAAACAGTGTAATTCGAGGTGTACTGAGTTGAACCTCAAAACGATGAGCAGCCACAGTCCGTCGCGTATTTCTGATATATACCGCTCTTGGTGGAATCAAATGTGCCAAGTCACTTGAACACTCCAACCGTTCTTCGATGTTCACGTCTCCAATCAGTCAGATGGCTCTTTTCTGGATGGAATCCAGCAGTTTCAGGGTATGTTTAGGAGCGGAGCTCCATACATGATAACGATACTCCAAAGAAGGTCTGATCTGAGCCTCATAAAGCATCAAAAGTTGCTGAGATGTGTACAGTTTTCTGGTTCAGAACAGTGTCCCAAGCTTTCGAGAAGCAGCCTTTGCAATTCCAACAAACCTAAGTTAGCAGAAAGCGGAATCGTATGTTTTACAAAGAAAACTAGATTCCAACTCTAGAAATGGTTCGTATCGAGTTATGGGCTTATCCCAATCATGAATACAAATCTTTGGACACACTGCATAATATTCTGCTAAATTCTGGCTTCACCCATCATGGAGTACCTGATAATGTGAAACAATATAGGGTGATCCATTTAAAAAAAATTGGTGACATGCTCACATTAATTGTGAATATGTCCTCTTGTATACTATTGTTGACATGTTTTTTGTTTTTCATGAAAATCATTGTACCAAAAGTTATTCAGAGTAGCTCATTTCAAATGGAATGCATCGTATAAAAGGATTTTGAGCTTATTATGAAATGTAATTTTTTTTTTCTGTGTTCACTGACATTTTTTTTCATCCTGAATACTGATTTTATATTACTAAATGATTAATGAATGAACAAATGAAAGACAATTCTTACTTATATTCCTGGTTTCCTCGATGGAGATATTGGACGTCGTTTCTACCTTCTTTCCTGCCCCCTTCACTTTCGAAATCGTACCGATTGCATTCTCAATCGCTTTCTGAGCTTTGTGAACACCCAGCTTGAATCCTTCGTGGTCGGGCCTAACGTGAAGACCCCTGTGGTAGAACATCAGGCCTAGTTCGAAATCTCCGAGGTAATACAACGCCTCCGCTTTTTGATAAATGGCTTTGATGAAATTTTTATCGATTTGCAGAGCGAGTTCGGCATCTTGCAATGCGTTTTTTGGTTGACCTAGTAATATGTAACATTTGCTTCTGGCTACCAAAGCACTTTTCTCGGTTGGATTGAGTTCGAGAGCCTGAAATGGAAATGAGTGAGATGGGGAAATATTTGCGAAATCAGCATCCCACGGGAAATCATTTTAATGTAGCATATAGGACGTGACTCATGACGACTGAAATGCAATATGAAATAACAGAAAGTTTACTTCAACAGGATTGTACTCTTTGAGGAAAACATACGTGAAGAGAGTGGACTAGTTTCAATAATTTTGTTAAAGATTGTGTTATTATATGGTAAGACAAAGGATTAATTTTTTCGTTTATTGTGGAAAATCAGCATTATAAATAAACACAATGTAAGAATTAAATCAGAATATCATGAGTTCATTTCTTTTGTTCATTTCATATAATTTCATCAAATTGTGTTGACTTCGAGTTCGGGTTGAACTGCGTCTGTAATTTTGAGTTCGACGTTTTGGCTCCCACTTTGGAGCCATTTTCAAGAATAAGTAGNATTCTTCAAAAGCATCACTTGATGTCCGTATCTAAGAAAATGGTTTACGTTTACAACAATATTATTCGAAATTTTCATTATTTCTAAATATTTACAATAAGTTTATTCTCCAATTTTACTTAACAGATATAATTTTGCTTCATCTGACATTAATTTACAACCCATATCGATTGTCTGTTTTTTGAAAATTAATAAAATTTGGTACACAAATTATGAAATTTGAATTTCGCATTCTTTCGTACTTGTTTCCTGTCAAGTCTGTGGATTTCAATACATGTACAGGGTGCCTTCGCTATAGTTCTGTATCTGAATTTTTCCGTGATGTTGTGAATATCTCTACACATTGTTATCATTATTTCCTAGACAAGATCTATTAACTGAAACCATAAATGTGCGATTGGCTTCTGCTGATGGCTCTGTGCATTTGTATTCTTTTCTTTTTGTAACCAAGTGTTACCCATCATTACACTTGGCTGTACTATATTGTGGTTTGCCAATTTGAGGGCCAATAGGCTGATACAGCTGTCTACCTGTGGCTATGCGATTAACAGGTTTGTCCTTCAAGAACAGTGGAGTCTAGCAACGCATTTGTGATTTACACAATGAGATCTATGGCGAGTTGAAACAGCGGTGTGGTTTGTAGCTCATTTGCATACACCTGCGACTCAAGAAAACTGCACAATAAAAAGTCTAATGGGGACAAATCGCACGGTCTCGGTGGCCAGTTCACATCACCTACACGTGAGATGACCATGTCCTCAGATCGCTCGTTTGGAATATCCAATGTGGCATGCGCTGTGCAACACGTAGCGTCGCCCTGTTTTAACCACATGTCGTTGGTCTCCAGATCATCCAATTCAGGACAAAAAAAAAGGTGGTAATCATCTACCTACAATGTTCGCCGTTAACAGTGATGGCCTGGTCAACGTCGTTATCAAAGAAACATGGACGATAACGGTGCCAGCCCAAAATCCACACCAAACAGTAACTTTTTCGGGATGCATTGGACGCTCTCGGATCTTATATGGATTTGTATCGTTTCAAAATCGACAATTTTGTTTGTTCACGTACCCATTCATCCAAAAATAGACCTCATCGCTGAAGACCATTTTGCGATGAAAATTAGTCAGTTTCCAACTGCTCCAGAGCACAGGTTTAGCCCCACTTCAAATTGAAGTCAGGGCTAGATACCATGAATGGAAAATGGATAGTGAAAGGACGATTGGTAACAGAGTGAACGGGGTAGACAGGATACTCCCCTGGATGCAAGGGTTGTTGCTGGAGGAAGAGATGCCGGATGAGGAAATGACTGAAGTGTACGTGGACGCTGGTGTTAGTGAGAGCGATAGAAGAACGGGTACAGGCTGGGCATACAAAAAGAACGAGAGAGAATGAAAGGATTTCCGGACAGAGCAGTGTGAATGAAGTGGAACTGGTTGCTATATAACGAGCGATCGGAATTCGGAGCATAAATGAGAATGTCAAAGTAGTCAGAGACTGTGCGATACTGGTTGAACTGATGAAGACAGTACGAGTGAAGAATGAAAGGGTAGCTGTGATCCAGCGAATGATTGAGTAAAGGAATCTAAGGGGAGCACGGACCGAAGTCGTCTGGCGAAAGGGACATCATCATAGGAATCCTGGAAATGAAAAAGCGCATCTTGAGGCCAATAAAGAGATGAATAAAGACAATATTTCAAGTCAAGCGTATGAGAAGTTAGAGAGAGAGGAGTGGAAGAGGATTGAGGAAAGTATCATGGAAGAATGGCAGATAGAATGAGAAAACGGTGTGACTAGGCGACCGCTCACGGGGCACGGTAATTTTACAGGATACTTGGCCAGGTTCAACCTGGTTCCGGAGGTACCCTGCTCATGTGGTTGGGAGGAGCCCGAAACGGCAGAACATGTGATTGAGAGATGTATGGACGGAGATGAAGTTGGGTGGGGAGAATGGAATGACCGGCTGGGACGAGAAAAGGGAGTAATGCAACTGAGAGACATGAATGGAAAGAGGCATGAATGAATATGAGTTGCAAACGAATATGCAGAGAGCGTGGTGTGGTGTGTGACGAGTCGGATGAGAGGCAAGCTGTCACTTCGCCTTCCCAATCTTCTCAATCTGTATAAATCATGCCAAGGCACACTGTATAGCGTTGTGGACCTCAACTGTATAGGCTTTCTGGGAGACTAATAATTTATGTTTTCTTTGAACTAAATGTAGTTATTTTTGTGATTAGTTTTTCCCTCTTCCGTTTAGGAAATGGAATATGTATCAAGTAGCTGTAGTATTTAGAAAAAGTTAACTTAATTTTGTATATAAAGGAGTTGTAATTGGAGATGAATTAAATGAAGTTGGGTCTTCTGCCCCCGCTGATTCGTCCCTTCGTGTGGTAGACATTACGTGTCGGCGGCACGAGGGGGGTGAGTTCGAAGGAGTAGGGGTTCCCTTGACAGTAGTGGCGCTAGACAGAGGGAAGACGCCCAGGTGAAAGACTTACGAGCTAGGGCAACAAAGGGCTATGGCATTATTCATGCTACAGAGCCCATTCATCGAACACATGTTGTCTATGGTCGCTCACCTTTAGTTCCTGGGTCAGGTTGTACGAGTGCAGGCCCAAGTCACGATGCAAAATTCGCCAAGTTATGTTCTGTGAAAGGCTAAGTTCTTGTGAGCGACGCAAACAGAACACCCATTTTGATAAGACAATTTTATCATTTGCATGTGTAGTTGAATGCTATATTCGTCCATGATGATTTGGCAAAAGAATATGGCAAAATGAATAGTTATCTCGCAATTCATCACATTTTATTCTATCAAAATGTATACAATTATCCACACTTTGATGATACTCGTTTCTTTTCACTGTATACAAGTTTCAAAAGAGATAAATGTGGGTAACGGCATATTATTCTCAATTTCAAAAAGTTTGGTAGACAATGATCCCCATAACCAGAATTGGTAATTATTCTGAGAGCTTTTTTCCGCAATTTGATAATTTTTACAGCCCCAATTGAGTTGCCCCAGAGTATAACATCATAGCTAATGTGGGAATGGAAGAAATTTAACACTGTTTGCACTTCATGTAGCGGCAGAGTTTGGGGAAAACTGCGTTTTGTCTGTATTCAGTTTGAGTCGATTTGTCACGAACCAATTTTTTGCCTTCCTATCGACTTTCAAATCCCATAAATTTCAGAAATAACGTTAAAAATATTCTCTACAAAAATGCCTTCTATTCACTTGATGAATATTTTCAAACTGATCTGGCTGCTTGACATCACGATTGTTTATATTATGTTTTTTTAATTGTTTTAAATAATTATATTATCTCCTACATCTGCTATTAATTTAAATTTTTTTTTCCATATTTCATCACTCCAATCTTTATTGTGTATGTGACGATTTCCATGCTTGTAAAAAAGTCTCAGGAAAAATAAAGCATTGCATTGTATTGTATTTTATTGTATTGTATTCTTTTGACATTCTAGATAGTTCAATAGAATATGAAAGTGGTCGAAGTGAAAATATCTACAAACATTATGTGATAAGATTTTTTAGAATGAATATACTATTATACTTTGAGGGATCAATCTTGCAGATTTATTTTTCATGTTTGTCTTCAATCGAAATTGTTAATGAAAAAATTCACTCAAATTGTAATTTTGGTTATTCACTTCAAAATGTATTTCAAAATGATTTACTTATGGTAAAATATCAATCGCCTGAGGTTGTTCCCTTCACTTTTTTCTGTCTTAGCCAAATATTTTCTTAATTTTCCCAGATTAAAAGTTATATGTGCCATTTTCATAGTAAGAATTCACTCTGAACATGCAACTATGCAATTATCCGTCTAAAATAACTACAAAAAACTTCAATTCATTTTTAGAATTCCATGATGTTATCGTGTGGTTCCAATGATAATTGAGAAAACATTTCCTTTCGGAAACTTCATCGAGATCACGGAATATATCGATTGTTCATTTTATCATCCAACTGACATATAAACCTGCAAAGTCATAAAGATGCACCCTCATCATAGTGCTCTATCGATCAAACTTTATTTGTTTTAAATGACTATCGAAGATACGCTGAACATGCATTTGGATTTATATTACGGAAGTTAGATTTGAAACATGCGAACTTGAAGGATTGTGGTAAAGTTATATAAAGTTAAATTTGTGGTAAATGGAGGTCGGCTCTAGAGGGTTAACTCATTTTGGTTAACTCAAATTTGACGTAGAAAACAGAAAAGTAAGAAAGAAAACATTCATGGTAATTTCTCATAAAGGCAAAATATGTACTGGAATTCATGAAAATTGTGTTGTTGAGTGAATATGCATTTATCGAAATTTGAAAGATATATCTATAAGTTTCAGAAAGTTAACTCAATATTTCACTCAAATAGACAGTCGAAAAACCTACAATCAACAGGTTAATCCAATTTTCAATAAGAGTTTTCATTTTCAACCAGGTGAATTTTCCCTCCAATTTTTCAATCGTGCAAAATGGATTGGTGTACAAATCCATACGAAATAGGTTTGATAGTATTTCTCACCATCATAAGAAAGTGAGAAATACATATTACCCATTACTGTTCCCTATTATCTATTACTACTATTTCCCATTACCTATTACCTATTATTTAGTTTCGTAGGGATAGCTCAAAATAGAGGGGTTTGAGAACCTGGGTTACTCCTACTACGAAGTATCAGATGATAAAAGCCCAAAAAGGAACAAGTCTGAAAAAAAAACATCCACTATTTCCACACTACAATCCACAATGTCGGAAATTACTATGGCTTGTCGAATCGTTTTTGTGTATGGGCTCTCCAGCTTCCTGAAAAAACGTTACCTCCAGGTGGCTGTCGATGGATATCTCTCTCATCAACGCTGGTGTTTCCCAGGGATCCATATTGCCTCCAACCCTCTTTTTATTGTTTATCAACGACGTATTGGGAAAAACCAAAAATCCAATATATTGCTTTGCTGACGATAGCATACTTGTCTCGTCATTCTATTTGGATTCCAGGACTTCAGCGGATGCACATCTAGAGGACAATTTCGCTTTCTGCTCTGATAAGTTTTTTGGGGGTTGAAATTCACACCAATATATCTTGGCACAATCATATCGCTGGAATTGCAAAGGCTGTTTCTCAAAAGCTTGGAACACGGCTTTGAAACATAAAACTGTATACACCCTAGCAACTTTTAATACTTTATAAAGCTCAGATCAGATCATCTTTGGAGTATTGTTATCATGTATGGAGCTCCACCCCTAAGCGTACCCTGAAGCTGCTAGATTTCATCCAGAAAAAAAGCCATTCGCCTGATTGCAACCAATAGACGAATGGTTGGGGATTTGTCTCCCCTCTATATATACTTTTACAGGAAGTGTTCAACTGACTTGGCACATTTGATTCCACCAAGAGTGATACATATCAGAAATATGCTACGGACTGTGGCTGCTCATCAGGTTCAACTCATTATACCTCAAATTTCGCCATTCAGGATTTCTTCCATTTGGAGAACTGCGTTTATGTAAGCTCCGGGGGTCGATTCAATAACCAATAAGTTGTTGAAGAGGCTCCCGGGCAACTACGTCGAAAACCTACTGCATATTATAAACAGTTCGGGCCCTCAGTCACTTCCCCAGAAGGTGGAAGCATGCGATCGTTATCATGATCCTAAAACATGGTCAGAACCAGCTGTTCCCACAAAACTATCGCTCGATTAGTCTGCTCTCGTCGGAGGCTAAGCTGGCTGAAAGAGTCGTTCTGCAAAGGCTCAACGAAGAAGTTGAGGACCGAAATGTTCTACCTGACGAATAGTTCGGCTTCAGGAGAGAACACACCACTGAGTTACAGGCTCTGAGATTGGTCGAAAACACCATTGCGGTACTAAATCAAAACAAAAAAGTCCACGTCGTTCAACTAGACATTTCGAAGGCCTTCGACCGTGTATGGCATGAAGGCCTTCTGCATAAACTAATCGCCACGGTGTCTGATCCGGTGGATTGGGTCTTTCCTGAAAAACAGAACATTTCAGGTTCGAGTAGAGGGCTGTCTGACATTAGAGAGATCCTCGCTGGAGTGCCACAGGGGGCCATGATCTCCCCCACGCTGTAATCACTTTACACCAGTGACCTTCCGAGGTCTGAGCGTGTGAAGATATATCTGTGCGCTGATGACACGGCTCTCCTCTCATCTTCTATGGGTCGGGAGGTCGGTGTCGTCTACATGCAACGTGTATTGGACGACCTCGAGCGCTGAAAATTCAAATGGAAGATCCGAGTGAACCCGGACAAGACCCAGACGATAACCATGGGAAGAACGATATCTTTTCCGGGCAGAAAAGTGAGGATCACTGGAAGGGAGATCGACTGGCAAGCGCGGGTGAAGTACTTCGGCCATCTAATAGACCGTAGGCTCACCTGAAACCCGCACATCACAACCGTGAAGGCAAAGATCGAGGGCCGGATCAAAAGTCTATACCCTCCGATCAACAGACGTTCCAAATTGAGCCTTAAGGTCTATAAAACGATCTATAAAACGATGTTCAAGCCTGTCATCATGTACGCTTCAGACGTCTGGGGACAAATAGCCCGTCTAATATCTACATTCTGGAGAGATTGCCAAATGAGTTTATAGTAAATGCTCCGTGGTTCGTACGGAATGATGCCACCCGCAGAGATTTTCAGCTGCTTTCCATTAAGCAGTTCATCCAGTCGAGGAATGAAGAATCGGCAAGTCTTAGATTGCGCAGAAACCCCTTTACTCAGGGAAGCTATGGATTATGCTGTAGACGACCCCTCACGATATAGAAGGCCGAGACACTCTGCCGGGTGAGGCCCTCACGTCTCCAGTTGAAAGATGAACAATATATTCATCCAAACACCCCAACCAGGTAGGGCTCCACGTGAAGGTCGGTACTGATGTCTGAGGACATTCATGTCGTCATCCCATAAATCAGTCTTGACCCGTTTGACTTCCTGACGAACATCAGTCCAAAGGTTGAGGGGGCCAGGCTCCAACCTATCCGAAATCAAGATGGCTGTCGGTTGAGAGAAGGATACAGTTTGAACCTGATTTTATTTCCGAGGCTGAAAGAGCTAACTAGAACTGTCTAATCAAGTTCAATAGTCCTGAGTAGTATTTCGGGATATAATGATATACATAGAAAATGTATCTCCAAGAAATCTACGGTTTGGGAATGATTTTTTGTTTTTCTAGGGATGATACCTATTCGTTCAAACTTTAATAATTTCTTTTGTTTATAATGTTATTCAATTTCGCCGGTTTCCTAGAATACCAGATGGTTCAAATATTTTTATTTGTTGGGATGATGTCTTTCGTTGATCCATCAAGATCGTGTTAGGTGTCCAAAAATACATTTCATTGATAAAAATGTATATTGGATCATTCAACATATTTTCTTTTGATATTTTTGATGAATATGACAAATATTCAAACTATTTTCAGAATTTTAAGTGGAAATATCACCGGTTGTCTTGTCCTTTGAATAGCAGAATACATCTCGATATATCCCGATAATCATAAGAATAATATCCTGTTTCGACATATTCCTCAACGAATAATTTTTGATGGGGAGGTAATGTAAATCTTTTTCGATGAATAAAAAAAATCAACAGATATCAGTAAAGAGATCATCTCATTAAACTTCATGTGACATAATTGATATCAAGCATTGAGACAGTATTTATATAAGAATAAACAACAACCTTTGAGATGAAGTCTACCGCAATTTGAAAATCTCCTCTGCCCATTTCGTAGTTCCCGAGAGCCAAATAATTTCCAGGCTCCGCTTCCTCTGGTATCTGCAATGCCCTTGAACGATCCTGTTTCCGCTTCAATTTCAAAGATTGCTTGATATCCTTAGAACCCATATTGACTGCGGCTGCCCGGTCTTTGTCACAATAGATCTCTTCATATCTGGGACCTACTCTTCGTCTTTTTCTCCTTAGTTTCTTCTTCGAGTCCTGGGTGAACTCTTTGGATAGTTTCTTCGAAGTGTCGAAAGAAATAACTTGCTTTTTCCTCGTATCTGATTCTGTATTGAAAATCGTACTCGTTGAGTAATTGCCTACATTCATCTTGTAACTTTTTCGAAATAATTGTTTTACTGAATGACAGAAATATTGACTTTCGATAAGAATAGATTTGATCACTCTGAAGAAAGATTCTTCTCCGGAGCTCTGCATGAATTATCAAGATAATTACAGTTAGTGATATTCTTTCTATTTCCAGTTACAGTTGTCACAGTAATTGAAATTTTGAAATAAGTGTTTTATTAAAGGAGTCCTTCAATGATTAAAATGTAAAAAAATTGGTTTCGACTTCGTTTTCTATCGTTTTTTACCCGCCTTGACTGGATGATGAAATACTGAAGACAACTCAAATCAATCATTTGATCAAAGTTATAACATGAATGCAGTGTCTATTGTTCATAACTAAACTGGCCAACAATATACTGGGATGTTCCGCTTGATATTTTTCATGATATTTCATTTTCATTATTTGGGAGAAAATTTTAAAGAGATGTCAGTCATCAGGCACACATTTGTAAGAACCGTCGATGCATCTTTGAGGATGCAAAAAATTGTTCTTCACATCAAAGATGCCAATTATCCATGTCTGCGAAACATTTGGAACAGTTTATGAACCAAACGAAATGAGCTATCCAGAAAAAGAACAATAAAGCCATATCATAACCTCAAAAGACTCAACTTTTAACCATTTGATTGGACTGTATAAATACGGCGACTCAGACAAGTGGTATCATTCTACATATTGATATAATATAAGTGAAAAGGGACAAGTGGAAATCAATAATCGTATATTCATACTTTTCAAATTTCAATGGAATTTTACTGGTACAAAAAGTATGAAATGTTTTATTTTTATTTTTCTACGCTTTTGATTATTTGAGTCAAAACCCATTTCAATAAGGTTATTGTTTGTTCGAATTAACTTTTCATTCAGAATTAAATATGTAGCAACCAACAGTGTCGTTTTATAGTGTTCGAATGTTACGGGCAACACTCTTTGGATTGACTTGAAGTAAAACATTCTCAATTACTGCCAACTGATAGAAGAAACTACTTGGTACTTTCTTTCTTAATTATTCGGCCGTTACTTCATGAATACTAGAAAACAAGTTGACGTAATCTACATAAGCCTAGCGAAAGCATTCAACAAAGTGAACCATGGAGTTCTCATCGCCAAATTAAGGAAATTCTCAATGAATCAATCAATGATAACATTAGTGAAGTCATATCTGTCAGATAGAGGTCAATTTGTTGCTTTCAGTAGAAAAAGGTCGACACTATTCAGACCAACCTCTGGCGTTCCTTAGGGATCAATTCCAGGCCCCCATTCATTTATAATGTTCTTCAACAATATATGTGATTATATAAGACATTCCAAATTCCTACTCTATGCAGATGATCTCAAACTATACCAAACCGTCAACGATGGAAGAGACAGTGAAAACCTTCAGAAAGACTCAGATTCTACCGCTATCTTTTGTGAGACGAACAACTTAATGCTGAATGCAAAGTTATGTCTTTTTCACGGAAAAATGTTATTAATCCAAGGGAATATTCAATAAATGGCACCAAACTGGAAAAACTTGCTCAAATCGAAGATCTAGGAGTCATATTTAATAGAAACTTCAACTTCAGAAATCCATTGAATATATTGTACGTGATGCAAACAGAAACCTTGGTTTTGTGTTAAGAAACGCCAGGGATTTCAAATGGGAATTAGAAATTTTCATATTCGAAGTCTTTGTCTATTGTACTATTTATATTCAACATGTATATTTAATCAGATAATAAATGTACCTGAACTCCTCAGTGTGATCAATCTTCATGTTCCTAGTGCTAGTCTAAGAAATCGTAATAAGGTTTTCTATACAGACACCCGATCAGGGTCTCCACTCAATCGCTGCCTTAGGCAAGTGAATGATCTAGTCGTGAGTCATCGAAGTCTTAATTTTTTTTTCCGTTATGAATTAGAAATAAAACAGTCGTTCAAAAAAAAAATGTGCCATGTATACCTGTTTTTATCAATGTTTCTCTTGTATGTAATTTTAGGTGTTTATTTACTCTGTGTATTGTAAAATCATATATTTTATGTTCCATGATATTGACTGTATACATATAATCGGGTGTAAATCTGTTTGGAATGCAGTTTAAATAAAATCTATCTATCTATATATCTAAGATCCTCAGTAATTTCACAAACTACACTGGAAACGAATTCTTCGCCCTAATTTTTACATACCCCATGTAATCTATAACGTGCAAACGCCTCTAAATGATAGGAGCAATGTATGGAGGCTATAACAGGGGGGTTCTACTAGTGAAAAATAATGTGGTTAGCTACTTTCGGAGAGTGGGTCGTGGAAAAAATACCCTAATGTGGTAGAAAGTAGATTTATTCATTGTGCAAGCTGCACGTAGATGACTTAACTATATTGATCCATTAAAATTCGCATGTAGAGAAGCAAATGATCATTTGACAACCCTATGTAAATGAAGTTAATATATTTTCAATGAATTGTCACATTAAATCAATTGTATTCTTTCTTCTAGAATCACTGGTAGATAAGGATACTCAATAAAGTGAATAGTTATTAGTTATATAGCTATTAAAAGGAATGTAATTGAAGTTATGAGCTTCCTTCTACCTTTTTTGCCAAAAAGCTGTATTCAAATGTAGCCAATAAGCAGGCAATTTACAAACAACAAGAGGTGTGATATTAATGTGAGCAAAGCAATTGAAATAATGAAAACGTTTGCGGCTAGATTAGGAAGATAGAATAATTCAAATCCAAAACATTGAAGTGAGAATTTCATTTTTTCTCAAGAACAAGAAAACTCTTTTATTCAACTTCTAATAACGTATATAGCAAATTCATCCATGAGCACAATTTTTCAATTCAGCTCTAGCTATGTGCCGTGATGATAAAAAAAAGATTTTCTCCTTTCAAATTTATGTCATCCTGTCATCTATAGTCTCAGTCCCATGAAATGGGTTACCTAATTGTTGCGTTTGGAGTATAATCATCTTCAATGACGTCACAGGTGAACCCTTTTGATCAAACCTTGCAATGATATATAGTTATGAACATAACAGAAGTGACACGGATTACCAATATAACAGCCTTGATGTAAATTTATATTTTTAAGAACTAAATATTAGGATGTTAGGTTATTTAGGGTACCGAAACCTAGAATTTAATGGATCTCCATATTTTGTTATATCAATAAATGAGCAATAAATGAATAAACATCAAAGTTGTATATGATTTTTCTAGGTAATTCAACGAATATCATAAAAAGAAAATCAACACATAACAAATCACCTATGACTACTTCCTCAGGTACATGGTACATCCACAATCATGATTACCAGGAAAATATACCAAATATCATATCAAATGATTTAGCTTCAAACCTTCATTTTCTGTGTGTGAAATTTCGAAATCTCCGTTAAATATATGATTTTCTTCTGAAAGATGATTTGAATATGTTGAACTCATTTTCGTATTCACATAGCTTATATGATGTTCCATGCGATTCCTAAATGTTCTGCCGCTTTGACCAATACATACATTAGGACAAGCTCCAAAACGAATTATATAAATTGGATTGTGGGACTTGTTATAAGGTTCTTGGTCACATCGGCAGAACATTTAGGAATCGCATCCAAAAATATCATACGACCTATATGTAAATAAAAAAACAAGTTCAACATATTCAAATCATCTTTCAGAAGAAAATAAAATCTTCAACCGGGATTTCAAATAAACTCAAAAATTCAAACATTTTTCTGACTTATCAACTAGATTCAGATTTATCAACATTACTGAACTTCTTTCCCCGAAACTGATGTTATCATAGTCTTTGTATTCATATTATTGAAGTAGAATTTATTTATTATTCTCTAGGTAATCATGATTGAAGATATACCTGAGGTATATAAAATTTGAGTAGGTGCTCCAGGTAATTATGTTTGAGTATGGCGATTAAGTGGGGTTTATTAGAGTTAGAGTAAAAACTCATGTATGTTGATATAATTCACTACAAAAAAGCTATTGTGATAGCGAAATATGTTATATTTTTGTGAATAAAATTTGTGAAGGTCTTTTCCGGTGTAGTTTGTGAAATCACCTGGTACCTCTTCGCAAGTTCCTGGTTTATCAAGTTGGTCTTTGAGGAAGCATCTCAATCACACTGCTGTTTGGATCGTATCTTTCCTGCACTGCTGGGAGGTACTAACTCTAAACCGGTCTGTAGGTGCATTCTCGATTGATTTTAGCGTGATCCTATAGCTGGATGAACAAGAAACATCTGCATGACTAAGCTCTGTGAGGTATTATCCGGAAAAGTAGTTATTCTACGCCAGGATTTCACCAGATCCTACTGTGTAGGAACGTTGGGAGAAACAGATGTTTCCAGACTTCGTTTCGAAAGCTCTATTCAGTTAAAGTCAATGAAAATCTACTGTTACTCAAAAATGAGTATATCGTCAACAAAGGATACACTTTTGTTGGATTCAAACTCAGTACTGTATACATGTTTCGTGCTCAGTTCCTATAAACTTTGAGAGGTATTCTATTGAGGGTGTAATTCCATTTGCTGAAACCTTGAACAGTTGGGTGAAGGCTGCATGATTCACATATGCACAACCCACTTGGCAACCGATCGACAACATCTTTATGGAATGCCACACACGCAACTTTGGAACAGAAATAACATCCTCATTCGTATGTGTAACAATTTGAATGTAATTGGATGTGGTTTCATGATAATTATCGATTCGTCGATAATGTACCGATTTCAATTTTCAATTTTTCAATGCATAATATATGAAAAGGATTCTTGTTATTCTATTTCAGTTGAAAACTTGTCATTTCTGAGTATGATGGTGATTTACTTTTGAAGTATTCTTTTATAACAGTAAAAAATATCCCATTCAAATCAAGTTTGTCTGTTCGATTAATGTAAAGTTATAAAACCAGACCCTTCATCAAGACGTGGTGACGTCTCATTGAACTTTCTGTGATTTATATCCATATATACGTGGGCTGGTCAAAAAATACAGTAAATTTGTGTGCTAGGTACATTAGTTTAGCAATTTTTTTTCGTTTTGTATTGCTACACTCGTTTCGAACATATGTTCATTATTTTAGCGATTTAGCATGTTTAGTTTGTTTGGTAAAAGGCATTTAAGTTGAAAGTGTTTTGCGTGTTCGCAAAAATAAAATTAAGTGCTCGAAAACCCTCGAAATGTTGACAGTGACATACGATGATTGTACTCTGAGTCACAAAAATATTTAACAAGTGGTACAACCTCTTCACAGAAGGTCGAGAAGATGTGAATGACGACGCTTGCCCTGGTCGCCCCAGCACGTCAAAAACCGGTGAAAATGTTGAGAAAGTGAAGAAAATTGTTGTAGTGAATCGTCGAGTCACTATGAGAGGAGTTGCTGAGTATTTCGGCATATCGGTTGGCTCATGCCATGCAATTTTTCAAAACTTTTGGACATGAAGCCTAACGGCAGCGAAATCTATTCCACAATTGCTGAATTTGGACCCAGAAAACCATCGCATGAGCTTCACTTCTAGAATTGTCGAATGACGTTAACGAAGATCCTCTAGATATGCTTAAATGGGTCAAGAATCGAGGAGACCCAAGACCACAAAAAGCACGCCAATTTCAATCAAATGTCAAGGTTTTGCTCAATGTGGCGTAGTGCATTAGGAGTTTATTCCACTTTGCAAGCAAGTGCCTTCTCTGTTACAGAGCTGAAATCTTGAAGTCACTTCACAGTTGTGTTGTACGAATTGTATTTAAGTTAGGATAAACAAGATATTTTACAGCTAGTCAAATCTAGGAACAGACTCATAGTCTCCTAACGAACGCGCATCTTGTGTGCGGAACCGAAACGGAATGCAGAAAGCTCTTCCTACATTTGACAAGCTGTTCAAGCATCTAAAGAATTCACTTTGTATTATTTCCACTCCTTCTGAAAGTGTCATGTGAGCATACGAGTATTAACCATATTACAGATGCAAACTCAAGTTGGGTTCCTACTAAGCTGTAACAAAGCAGTTGGATAGTATTTGACGTTGCTTGATCTGAAATCCTAATATACGATTATCATTCCTGACTACATTATCAATATGATTTGCTAAAGAAAAGACGTTGTTCAAAGTTATTCGGACAGTGAAGCGGTGTTGGAAGCTCTTGACTCCTACCGAGCAACGTCTAAATTGGTAGCAAATTGCCAAAAACCACTCTCCTCGATAGGAAGACAAAACAGATTGTCTCTGGTCTGGATTCCTGGCCATACTGGCCTGGAAGGCAATGAGGCTGTTGACTCCCTTGCAAAGAAGGGTGCTGCAAGCAGCTTCAACGGACCTGAACATGTCACTGATATCGCTTTAGGCTTTGCCAAACAAACATTGAACACCTGGATGGCAAAACGATTTATAGACATCTAGAAGAATCTTCTAGTATTGGCTCACTCCAGAGCATATCACTGGAGTTTTTTCCCAACACCAAACCGTTATTTCAACACTTCGACACGTGTTTCGATCACCAAGTGACCATCTTCGAAAGGAAGATCAAAGTGTGATCTTCCTCTTAAAGATGATCCTTTCGACACTCCAGTAATATACATCACTACACCAAAGGATCCAAACAGTGCACCACAGTAACTCCAAGGCGTTCATTCATCCTTCGAAGCTTGATACCAAATAGTTGTTGGACTACAGTAGGGATGAACCACGATGTCTAAAACAGGCTTTCTTATAGGTCATTGTCGTTTGAATCATCATATTCAGAGACTTGGACTGTCGAAAGAAAGTGTGACAGTGTGTGTCGCTTCTGTTTGAAAATTGATGAAAGAGCAGAGCACATATTCTGTGTCTGCCCCGCTGGGGACCGAAACAGGTTTTTGGAGATCGGCAGAGCCGTACTCTCACCATCTGACCTGAAAGAACACTCAGCCATACAAACTAACCGGCTTCGTTGAAAAGCTGGGTTTATTTGGTCGTGTGTGAATAGGTGTGAGCCACAATAAACCTTTGCGGGTTATGGTGGAGAGTCGAATAGATCCACTCACTTTGGACCTAACCTAACCTAACTACTCCCAAATCCTTGACCTCAAATTTCCACATCAAGACCTCTGCGTTCATGTGATATTCAAAGTTGATGGAATTTTTCAAACAGGTTATGGCTAGAAAAGAGTATTTCCATATTTTATATTTATATTTATGATTCATTGTTAGTACTCACTCTGTTATTCTATCGTATAGTTTGTATGTGCCTGAATATTTTCAAATCTTCTGCAGAAAGCAGGTACTTAGAGTACTCGTACTCAATATAGATGATAAAGCGAGAAGACTATTCAGAGAAAAATGCAAGAGCTGACTGAGACTTTCAGAAAAGTAACTTCTCTATAATAGAAAAGGTGTATGAAGAGCTAAGAACACCAATGCCAGTGTACTTGATGAGATAAGCAAGACAGATGAGAAAACAAATTCAGTAATTTCGAAATAATATAATAGCTCTTCAGAGAAAAATGCAAGAGCTGACTGAGACTTTCAGAAAAGTAACTTCTCTATGATAGAAGAGGTGTATGAAGAGCTAAGAACACCAATGCCAATGTACTTGATGAGATAAACAAGACAGATGAGAAAACAAATTCAGTAATTTCGAAATAATATAATAGCTCTTCCAACAAAAGTTGTCTGTCACAGCTCAATTTAAACGTTTCATTTTATTATGTCAACATATCACAAAGAGTCACATGATCAGATAAAATTTGAAAATTCCAGAGTCCAAATAATGTTTTGTGAAATTCTAATTAGAAGAAATTTGTAATGCTCAACATTTTCCACCCTACGCTCAGAGAAAAATAATTCTGACGACCTTTAAAGTAACATAAATAAATTTCATACTCAATGATGTCTGTCATAGGATATCATGTTGGAGGGACATGAATACCCGTTATGCACCAAGTCCATGAGATTGAGTTCATCGCCAAATGAGCGTACCACTTGTTACGACCTACCCAATGGATTTGAATAGATCACTATTATCGAAGTCAAAAAAAACGGGAAAGTATCATTATTGATGTAGAAGTGAGGTAATATGCTTCAGGTAATCATAATTGAAGGGGTACCTCAGGTATATAAAAATTATAGAGGTTTAGGTAATTTGATGGAAGTAGTCTTAATTGTAGTTACCTGCGCTATATAAATATTAACGTAAGAAGTAACTTCAAGTATTCAAATCACTGTTGAAGAAGCTACTGTGTTAGCGAAGCATATCGTGATACCTATATTTCTCAAATATAGTTTGTGGAGATCGATTCGTAAGGTGTAGTTTATGAAATTACTATGGATCTTCATCAAGTAACGGTCGAATCAATCAGAAAATCAATCTAGTATATTCATTGATTTATGATCATTGACTGAAATAAAAATATTTGGAACATTTGCAAAAACTTCACCAGTAAAAATTGTCCTATTATTGATTGGACCACCCAATAAAGCCCTAAATTTTTCATCGAGTGTACTCTTCATGAAACAGTTATGCTAGAGGGTGACTTTAATCAATAAATAAATTGCAACAATTAGCAAAACAATCCCAATAATTGTCGAAACAGTACTTTAACTTTTTATGTCTCTTCCAAAAATTCTCCATAAATACCTTCAACATTTTTCGCATCTTCTTTTTCACCTTCAACTTCTTCGGCCGGGTTATCGTGATCATCAACGTTGATTCTTACGAAACTTTGCAGCAGTTCATTTTCTCGTGTTATGCTCAGTCGTTTTTCGGCAATTATTTTCGTAGACTCCGCCATGTTATCCATTACGATCCAGGTGAGTTACCGTTCGAACAATCACGTAACACGCAATATCTTTGCAACATGTAACGTTAATGTGGATTTTATGAACACCGGTAATGTGATTTTGGTTAAATTACTATTTTAAGTTTTAAAAGGGTTTTATTAACTTACTGTGAAAACCAACACTTCTGTGGTTGCTATGGTTTCCCAGAGGCGTGATCAATGGGTGGAAAACGTAACGCCACCTAATTTGCCTGGAACGCTTTCTTCCAACACCATAAGTGCAGGGGTGGACTCTGCCAGTTTATGCCGGAGGCAGAATGACATTCATACAGAGAGTGTATTTTCTAGTGTGCAGTTTTGGCATTCATAAGAATAATTTGATTTTTACTGAAGAGTGTATTTTTGGGATCAATTCCGAAGGAGGAGCGATATGAATTCAAAAAAACATGAATAATTTCACTAGAGAAAAATAGGCAATGAACATCAATAAAATCTGGCTACCTATCCTTCCAGGCACACAAACAAGGTCAATTAACTCCATTGGGAGAAAACAAGCCACGCCCACAAATAATAAAATATTCAGGAATCAAATACCAGAATCCTAGTTATAGTAGGTACGCGCCAACTGAGATGAGTCAGCGCAGAAACGTAAAATCGTTCTGTGTTAAAAGACTCCGCCCACCTCAGTCAAATTTCGCCAATTTACTATTGACATTAGTGTCAGTTTGTGTGACCAATAGTTATCTTCTGGGGCGGGTATAATTTGGTTTCAACTGCTCATGAAAATCTCATCTTAGTTGGCGCGTACTTATATCGCGTTCGAAACGGGAACAATACCACGAGCATCATGTCGGGTGCTGCTACATCGCCTTTCACAATGTCTACCACAGTAGTAGACGAAACATCAGGCATGAAAACCTGCAGATCACTGCCAAAAAAACCAAGAAATTTAGAAATTTGCCTTCACACAGAGATGATATTATCTTGTCTCCACATAATATAAATCAAAGTCCCTGTCGTGTCCCAGAACGTGATAAGCTGAAAAACTACCGAAATAATTTTCAAACAGTTGTCACCAATGGAAGAAATTGTCAACATGGAAGGTTCATGTGTTTGATTCAATAGTATTTATATGAGTTGGTTGAAATATAACTATTCCTTTGAGATATAACGAAACAATTCAACACATGATATATTCCATTCAGAAAATAAAAAATCAAATTTCCTATTGAAGGACTAATCAAAAATCAAACACTCACCCCTATTGATTTTTTTTTCATGAAATCTCGAAAATTACACATTATGAACCACTTAATTTTTTTTTGCAGTTCACGAAGTTTTGTATCTAGAATGAATAATGTATTGTGATTCTTTTATAAATGTATCTATTTACGCTTCAAGGGCTATGATTTGGGTTCAGATCAGATATCCCTCAAAATGATCAATCTCATTGACTCCCTTTTGATGAATCACCTCACCTTTTTCATGAACTCTATCATAACCAGTTGCCAATTTCCAAAATTTTAGAACGATGGATTGGTTATTCCTCTGGGAGAGTATAACTCATCTAGAGTCCTTTAAAACCTCAGACCAATTACAAGTGTCCCGTGTCTCTTTACAGTAGTGAAATTAATACTGAAATATCAGATTGATAATTATGTTAATGACAATCGTATCCATAACATTTTTCCAATTAGGAGACAGAACTAAGCATAGTACCACCACGGCTCTTTTGTTAATTACCGACGATCTTTTAAAACCTGTAGATGAAGAGAATTTGACCTGTTCAATACTCAAAGCCTTTGGCACTGTTGATCACGAGAAATTCTGTGACAAACTTGTCTGCTTTGGTTTGTCTCTGAAAGCAGTGTCATTCTTAGGAAACTGTCTGAAGATTCGTACTCAAGGAGTTGTTATGGATAGTTGTTTTGGATGCTGTACCGGTATCAAAGGAAGGGCCACCAGGATGTATCCTTGAGCCCTTGCTTTTCAGCTTGAATATCTGTGATTTTTATCTGTTGGTGGAAAATACAATAAACATGACTATGCAGACGTCACGCAGTTATATTTCTCTTTTCCGCCTCTTTTTCGCCTGCTCAGTTATATATAAATAACTATCGTCAATCCATTTTCATATTTCTACAGCCCATTAGCTCAAGGTCAATTCGGAAAAATCTGTAATTATGATGTTTGGACCCAAAAAGTACAGAGAGCTCACTAACTCCATTTTTCAAGTTCGCATCGAAAATGAAATACTTCCCTCCGTGACCAAGATGAAAAATGTAGGATTGTGGTTTGATCCAGAACTTTGTTTTACTAAATATGTCAGCTATCTGAATCAAACTCGTTATAACGCCCTCAGGCAGATGTTTCCAAATCGTGATTTGCTCAGGATGGTCGAAAGTTAAGAAACTTAGAACACCGCATCTACTCACCAACACTCATAGAGTATTGATAACTCGTCAACCTGATTATTCACTGGAAAAACTCAGAACATTCTCAACAAATAATATTTTCACCAAACAGAACAGTTCAGTTTTAGTCATCCCCAACCTTTGAATAAGACTAAAGACTTACTCAACTATCTAGTATGTTGTTCATCAATCAAGATTTTTAATTAGTGTTGTATAAAATGCATTTTGAAAAAATTCCAAGTACCAAGTCATACGGAGAAATGAGTCAGCGGGGTCGAGAACCAAATTCCTGTATTTCTCAGTAAATACAATCAAATGAAAACTTAAAACTAACAGTTCGAACTCCTTCAGAATAGAAACAAACATGAAAAAAAAGTAAAAATTCACATGTCCACATGACAAACTCTTTCCCTACATTTAGTATCCCCAACTGAACATAATACTTAGCGCACATCCTCGGAGATGTATACAAGAAAGCAGTCTCGTTTCCTGCCATGACTGGGGAGACCATAACCCCTCCCCATTGTTAGCGTGCACTTTCTACGCCTGAAAGTCAGCAGCTCACCATCTATCCTTTTCTTTCTTCCTACACCACGTCCTATCATTCACGAATCGTATTCATTCATCCTTTCTCCCATTTACATCTCTCAACATAATTTCACCATTCATTCTTTCCTTCCACTCTTGCCAACCAATCCTCTACCCATACATGCATCTTTCAAACACGTGCTCTGCCGTTTCAGCTCCCCATAGTCTCAAAGGCAGGAAACATCCGGATCCAGGTTGAATCTTGCCAGGTTTCCCGGAAAGTTTCCATGTCCCTTGAGCAGTTAGACAGCCTTCCACGAAAGATCCAATGATTTATATCCGAGTGTTCTATAAAATCTGTAGAACAGCCGCCTAGTCGTACCTTGTTTCCATTCTCTTTGCCATTTGCTCATGATACTCTCTTCCATCCTTTTTCTCTCTTCTGTCTTTCTATGTTATTTTCTTACATTCCATGTGACCTCTGCTTTGTCCATACCCTTAGTAGCTTCCTCGTGACCTTTCGTGTTTGCTACGTTACTACCGTTATGTTCCCTCTTCCATGTGATTCGGGTATGTACTCCCCCAGTACTCCTCTTCTCGATCATCCGCTGAATTTTGCCCCTCACTCTTCCTGCTTTCACTCGTTCTACAGCCATAGCAGAGTCACTGATTACTTTCACGCTCTCATCTATGCTCCACATGCTGATCATTAGCACGATCGCAATCAACTCTACCTCGTTCATGCTGCTTTGTCCGGTAATCCTTTCATTCCCTGTGATTCATTCATTCTCCTCCCTTTTGTATGCCCAGCCTATCTCCACTCTTCCATCCTCCCCCTCGCTCCGGCATCTTCATATACTTCAATCATTCCTCTGTCCTACATCTCCTCCAGCAACGCCCTTTGCAACCATGAGAATATCCTATTTACTTTTTTCAGTCTGTCTTCAGATTTCTTTGTCTCGTTCACTCACCATTCTTGATATCTGATCCATCCTTCTATCTGTAATGGCGCCATTCCAGTGATGACACTGAGCGCAGCCATTGGCGTCGTCTTGTAAGCCCCACACGAGGCCAGCAGGAAAGGCATCTGTACTACACTCAACTGTCTCTTTACCCTGTTATCATGCATCCTATTCCCGCACACCTGTGCTACATAAAAAGCCGAAGGTTTGGTTACCCTTTCATATATCACTCTTACACATTCTCTCTTCAGTCAAATATTCCTACCGGTTGACCTTCTCATTTTTCCAGACAGTTCTTTCAGCTTTTTCCTCACTTCCTTGTGGTCGTCTATGAACAGCGGTCCTGAGTCCACCACAATTCCGAGGTACCTAACGCTTGTTCTCATTTCAATACTTCTCCCATTCATACCTAGGACCGGGGGTCTTTCATCCTTCCTAGTTGGTATGCACATACACTCCGTCTTCCTTTCGTTGTAACTCAGCCACATATCTTCCTCCCATGCTTTACATTCATTCCATAGTAACTTCCATATGTCCTCTATGCTTTTGACAGAGTTTACCTCGCTGATGACCAGCTGGTCATCCGCGTAGGCCTGCAAATTGATTTGCTGGAACCATGGTTCCATCACTATCAGCCATAGTGTCGGTCCCAGACTTGAACCTTGTGGACAACCTCTGATCACCGTTTCAGAGACTGAACCACAAGTTCTCGTATGAAGCTCATGCATATCCTCCCCACATTTTTTGGCATTTCCATTTGCCTCAGAAACCCCTCAATTGCCGGTGCCCACACGGTTTTAAAGGAGTTTGACAGATCCAAAACCACAATCAGACTATGTCTCCTTCCACTCTTGTTATTTCTTATCCTATTCACCATTCTTTCTACTGCTATTACAGTATCCATCCCCCATCTAAAACCAAATGGGTTCGGTGAGAATTTTAACTTTCTTCCGGATCAAATTTGCATCCTACCGTTAAGAAGCCTGTCTAACATACTGAACATGAACAGAGCAAAACTTGACGGCACCTACTTCTCAATTCAATCTTTTATAGGTAACAAATGCAATGGAAAAATCTCACTAGAAACATCGCCTGTGAAATTGACTGCATCGAATTC